TAGGGCTTAGCCAATTGAAATAATTTTAAAACAGCGGTAACATTTAAGACAGCGTTGGTAACATTAAACATTTTAAGGGCGACAATATTAATACCTCACCGAAGTCTAAATTTTGTCATCCAGTTTTTCTAGAACATTTAAATACAACGATATCTTTTGGAGGCGGATAGTGTAAGGGGGGGGATCTAATTTAGGTAAGACGAATGTTTGGAAGGGGAGGGATGCCGGACTCCAGGTGGGATCGGGGGATCCCCCGGAACTACAGCTCATCTCCAGAGGACAGAGATCAGTTCCCCTGGAATGCATGTTTTAAAGGACGGGCTCCGCGGCATTGTAGACCACAGAGGTCCCTGTCCTCACCAGGCTCCATCCCCAAATCTCCAGGAGTTTCCCAACTTCGATCTGGCAATCCTGCCGGTGTCCAGGGGGACCTGGCAACCCTACTGAAGACTGTTTCACACACCCACACAATGATTCCATTTTTAATAAGCGGATGGATTGATTATAATATATCAACCCCCAAGTTGTACAAAGGCCCATAGCCACAATGGGGCAAAGGGGGGCCGCGCCCCTGCAAAAACTTGCCACGCCCCTCCAGCGAGAACAGCCAGGAGAGAAAGCAGTCGTCGGTGTTCCCCTCTTGACCGAGCATCAAAGCGACTGCTGTGCCTCCAGATGTATCCCAGAATCCCCCGCAGTGGACAGGGATTCCACAACAGGCCTCCGAGGGGCTCCCTCGGTAGATAGTCGACTGGGTAGGAAAGCCATCAGTGCGGGCTGTTTCGTGGGTGGAAGGAGGGTGGGATTCGGAGTTGTGTTGTTTCTGATGACAGGTCAGCAGCATAGGAGAGTCGGGTCTGCTGGCTCTGTTGCGGGAGAGGCCCTTGCATGCCATAGGGTCACGCAGTGTCTGCTGTTTACCTAGGAGGATGGCGCAACACTCATCCAATGGAAACATACCCTCTGCACCCGGCCACAGTAAGTATCAGCCCTACGGGCTGGGCCGGGACCTGTGTGAAGCGTGTGTTTTGCTCTGTCCTGCTGACACCTCCCACAAATCGGCCCCGTCATTTGGAGGGGGGGGTGCCCTGCCACATGTGACCAAGGAGGTCCCCTAGGACAGGGGTCCCCATCATTTTTGAGCCTTTGGGCACCTCTGGAACACCACCCCAAAATGGCTGCCACGGGAGGCGGAGCCAAACCCAAAACGGCTGCCACGGGAGGCGGAGCCAAAACCAAAATGGCTGCCTCGGGAGGCGGAGCCAAATGGAATATCTCCTTCCCTGTGAAGAAAGAGATAGTGGAGAGGGAATGGTATGACACGCTGACAAACGAAAGCCCAGATACTTATCAGCAATGTTCCCTCTAAGCTGAGTTAGTGTGAGCTAGCTCGCAGTCCTTCAGCCTCCGGCTCACACATTTTTGGCTCGGCTCAGGAAGGAGGGCTCCAGAGCAAATTAATTGATGCAGCAGCCAAATCGCTCGCTCACGACTTTAATGCCTGTAGTTCGCAAAGTAGAATTTTTGCTCACAGGACTCCACAGTTTAGAGGGAGCGTTGCTTTATCAGTCCTTCTCGCTCTCAGGCGGAAAACCCTTCCGTTGGAATGAGGGCCAGCAGTAACAAGACTTGCCTTACAATGGCCCCAGCCGCTCTCTGAAAAGCTTAGCGGGTGCCAGGGGAAGGACTGCTGGACGCCGCGGTGCCCGTGGGCGCCACGTTGGGGAACGTAGGAGACTCCCCTCCCCAACCCAAGTGCATCACAGGAAACGCCAATCCGGTTTCCACGGAAGGACTTCACCGCTGCTCCTTCCGCCGTTTCCAAGAGCCCCGGCTGGGAACCCCTCCCCTGATGGCGCTACTGGGACCCCAGAAGCCGCTCTTCTCTGTGGGGGCTGTTGGGGCCTGCCCCTCCCCTTTCACCGCCCCCCCCCCAAAAAAGCCGTCATCCCGTTCCAGCTCTGGCAGGAAAAGCAGGAGCTTGCAACAGGGGGTTATGAAAAGCCGAGCCAGGACTACCCGGCGGAATTTTGAAATGACACTGGAACGCCCGAGGTGGGGGAAGGCCTTCCCTCCCGCCGCCCCACACGGTCCTTGGGGAAAGCAGCATTCCCCCCCCCTCTCCCGTGCCACTCTTAAAGGCCTTTCTCAGGTCTGACAAGCCCTGAAGAGAGCCAGTTTGGTGTAGTGCTTAGGAGCGCGGACTCTAATCTGGGAGAACCGGGTTTGATTCCCTCCCCCCAACATGCAGCTGCTGGTGTGACCTTGGGCCAGTCACAAGTTCTCTCAGAGCTGTTCTCTCAAGGGCAGTTCTCTCAGAGCTCTCTCAGCCCCGCCTACCTCACAGGGTGTCTGTTGCGGGGAGGGGAAGGGAAAGGAGATTGTCAGCCGCTCTGGGACTCCTTCGGGTAGTGAAGGGCGGGGTATAAATCCAATCTCCTCTCCTCTTCTTCTTCTCTTCAAGCGACGGATCCCAGAAAGGCGTTCCCCCCCACACATTGCGTTGGCTTGCTCGCCCTTTCGACACCCCTGTCTGTCTGCTAACCTCATGGGAGTTTTCCCTTTTGGTTGGGAGTGATTTCCCAACAGGGAACGGTTGGGTTTTTCCCCCCCACGCTTCTTGCTTGTCTCTATAGGGGCTTGGGTACAAGCTCTGTTGTACGTTCACGTTTCTTGACTGTCTTTCTCTGTCCTGTCTGTCATTTCAGACCAGGGCGTCACTGAGACCAAACCCACGGCGGTAAGGATGGACTCTTTACGGTTCCCTAACGCATCCAGGGCCCTGCCCTGGGTGGCCCCGGACTAGCCGAATTCTCGGCAGATCTCGTGAAGCTAAGCAGGGTCAGCCTGGGTCCGTACTTGGATGGGAGACCGCCAAGGAAGGCTGGGGTTGCCACGCAGAGGCAGGCAAGGGCAAAAACCACCTCTGCTCCGCTGCGACTTGACGGCACTTCCCACCAACCGGCCGGCTGCCAGAAGTCTGCTCACAGCTTCAGATGGGGAGTGGGGTCTGGTGGTTAGAGCGGGTCAGACTGGAAGGTTTTTTTGGGGGGGTGATTCTGGAGTCCATTTCCGGTCCTGAGAAGTAAGTGGGACGTAGTTAGGGTGGCCAGAGGATTTTACCGGTTAAGTGCGCGGACTCTAATCTGGGAGAACCGGGTTTGATTCCCCACTCCTCCACTTGCACCTGGCTGGATGACCTTGGGCAAGCCGTAGTTCTGATAAGAGCTGTTCTTGGAAAAGAGCCGTTTCTGTCAGAGCTCTCTCAGCCCCACCCACCTCACAGGGTGTCTGTGGTGGGGAGGGAAAGGGAAAGGAGTTTGTAAGCCGCTCTGAGACACCTTTGGGTGGTGAAGGGTGGGGTATAAATCCAATCTCCTCCTCCTCCTCCTCCTGTGCGTTTGATAAGCAGCTTGATCTGCGAAACCTTAGCGGGTGATACTGTCACTGAAAAAAAGCCAACTGGCTGATTTCTGTAGCTCGGACAGCCCTTAAGGGCAGAAGTGCGGCAGGGCTTTTTTTGGGCAGGAACACACAGGAACGGAGTTCCGGCTGGCTCCTAAGTTGGCCACGCCCAGCAGGAACTCATTAGCATAATAGGCCACACCCAACAGCAGAAGCTCACTTGGATTGGCTACAATTAGGGGTATGTGGCCTAACATGCAAAAAGCCCTGGGTTTTGACAATAAACAAGTTAAAGAGAATAAGAAGCAAAAGTGTGGCTGGATGACCACACTTCTGGTAACATGGGGGTGTGGCCTAATACGCGAATGAGCTGTGCTGTCGGGTGTGGCCTAATATGCTAATGAGCTCCTGCTGTTGGGTATGGCCTATTATGCTAATGAGTTTTTTTTTAGCTTTTTCTACCAAAGCAGCCCTGAAGTGCGGGTCAGCCCAGGAATTTTTCTTCAAATCGGTCCGCACGCCTACACCTGCTGGATTCTGACTTGGGCTAGGATTTCGGAGGTCTGACCCAAGGTGGGGGGGGAAGTAAGATGCGTGGCCCTTACTAGGAACCAAAGTACGCTGGGGCCGGCACTCTGCCTCCAGGGTAGGGTGGGCGGTCTCCATCGCCAAGCACAGATGTCTGGGTCAAGGGTCATCTATAACCCACCTGTCTGGAATTTAAATCGCTGGTTCTCACGGCCAGGAGGGCGGGTCTCCCTCAGGGGGTTGCCTGGAGGCATGCAAATGTCGTCCGGACCCTCGCCCAGCCTGATTTTGGAATTCTCCTCAAATGCAACCAGGGTTGCCTACTTTAAAAAAAAAAATTCCTCCCTTGACTTCTGCTCCTTGTCTGTTATAGGGTGAAGAGGACATACAGTATACCACACTAGCCTTCAACTCCAACAGTCCCCCTCAGCCAAGCCCGGGGCCCAACATCCCCTTGGAGAGTGGCACGATTTATTCAGTAATCAAAAAGAAATGATCGGAGAGATTGATTTTCCCCCCCACCCGTGCTCACCCTGTGCACAAACCGCCGCCCCCCTTCATGCCCCATCCCTTCCTTTCCCCTAACTGGACTCTTGGAGAGGAAAGCACAGCTTCTTGGGGGAAAGGGGACAGCACACACACACACACACACACACACACACTGTTTTGAGTCTCCTTTCAACCTGCACCCAACCCCCATTGCTGAGAAACGAAAAGGACGTTTCTCTCCACTCCCGGCTGCCTGTCGAAAGGGAAGGTCTTGCAACCGGAGCCCAGCTGTGAGAGGCAGGCTTTGGATTTCCCCCTGCCAGGAGCTGCGCGCGCGCCAAGGAAGGCCGCTTCAGGTGTGTGCGAGGGTGGGAAAGCTCGCCCCTCTCTCCGTGCCACCCGGCTGCTTTTGTGGCAGTTCTGGCGCTGCCCCGATCTCTCCCTCTGCCGGCTATCTCTCGGGCAGCGGGTGAATCCTCCTCCCTTGGGCCCTGCTTCCGTTGGCCAAACACGCCGCTTCTGAATCTCCCGGCCGCGATTGCCAGGAAAGCACTCGGTACTGGGGGGCCTCCTCCAGTGGATCAGCACCGACGGCTGCTTTCCTGCCTGTCTTCCGGCTTCGGCTGGAGGGAAGAAGAGGCCGATCCGAGACACGGACCGTTGCTCTGACGTCCCCCGGCTGCCCCCTTCCCTTGCTGCCCAGCCGACGGTTTTGCCTAGCTCAATCTGACGCCGTCCCGGAGGAGGAGGTGGACTTGCAAGGTGTGTGGGCCTCCTCACCAGTTTGGGGACCGAACGGGGCGAGAAGCAGATCCACGGGGCAGGCGTCGATGGCGGCAAAGACGTCTTGTCCAGGTCACGGAATCGGCACAATGCCCTCGCAGAGCAGATGCAAGCCCGAGCCGTTCCGCGTGCACGAGGCCAAGTGCGAGAAGAGGCCAATGACAATAGGGCGGCATTTTCCCACCTTCCTGATTTTTTTCCTAGCCAAGTGGTGTTTTAACGAACGGAACAGGAAGGCTGAAGGATTTCAAGGTGCAGGCAATGGTTCCCCTCTGGGCCGAGAGCCGAGGGGTTGCCTCGAATGCAGACATTTGGGTTTTTAAAAATTTGGATCGACCCGGTGGAGGAAGAGAGTGGGGCCCAGTGGTTAAAGCACAACGGATCAGGTTTAGGATACCACTGGGAAGGGATCTCAGGTGCCCTTTTATCACACCGGTAGCCACAGAGCAGGTGGACGGTCTATTGCGTTCGGCTCCAAGACACCCACATTAATTAGTCCAGCTCGGCCGCAGCGCTCGCTTTGGGCAAGGAGCCGTGCTGCCGTGTCGTGGTGTAGTGAAAGATGCCCATTAAAAGTTATACTGCCTTTGAACCCTGTGGGTGGGGCAGGGGAATTTAAATTGATTTACCGGTGTGTGTGGGGGGGGGAATCAAGGTTATATGGGAGTCACTGTTCTCCGTGCCTTCTCTCCCTCCCGTAAAAGGAATGCTTGAATGAGCAACGTGGGGCAGATGGCGTTACAGAATTAAGTGAGGTGCGACCAGAGCAACGAACAGCCAACATCCGGGGGGGGGGGGGGTTGCTTCAAAAATCAGCATTTACTCTGCAGCCGGCCTGCCAGTTTCGACCTAAGGGGCCCAGCTTGCCAGCCTGAACTTGCTAAATGCCACTGTTGTTAGTCTGTTCCAAAGCTGAGCTGCTTCAGAGGGCCAGGGGGGGGGGAGAGAGCAGGACTTCTCTGCCCCCACTGCTCGCTCGCTATGATGGCGTTCTCTGGAGTTTTCCCCTGCTCGTCCAAGTTGCTAATCTTTGACCAGGAAATCAGGGTGCCCTTGGGGCGCGATAGGATCTTGCACACTCTGGGCCCCGCTACTTGCTGGGTGTGGCTGGAAAAAAGACAGCCTGTGTTCGGGCTAGGCTTGGGGAACCGAAAGACAATGGTCAATGGGGTTAGTGTTCCCAGCGTGCGTGCCGGGCAGGGCCCCAATGCGTACGTTTATTCATCCGCCGCTCGGTCTTAAGGAGGCCGCTTGCCATCTGAAGGAAAGGGACTTGCCAAAGGGGCTCCTTTCATTATGTCAGCTTGCAGAAAAGCTGACGTTTTGCATGCCTGGTGGTGGTGGTGGTGGTGGAGTGTTTTCATGAAGGTCGTTTGCGGGGTTTACGGGGAGAGAGCTGGGATGCGAGTGCCTGTGATTGTGGGGGAAAAATCCAAGTTGTTTCCTCTGGCATTTGTACGACAAATTATGTTTTTAATAAAAAAAAACCCGGACTGACAACGCTTCTGTGACTCGTGGAGCAATTTATTTTAGGGCTGCCGGCTCCGGGTTGGAAAATACCCAGAGATTCTGGAGGGTAAATCCTGAGGAGGGTGGAGTTTGGGAGGGTTCGGGGTGGTGAGCAAACCTCATCAGGGTACAAGACCATAGAGTCCCCCTTCCAAAGCAGCCATTTTCTCCAGGGGAACTGATCTCCGTCACCTGGAAATCAGTTGTAAACAGTGTTCCCTCTAAGCTGAGTTATTAGTGTGAGCCAGCTCACAGTTTTTTAGCCTCCAGATCACACATTTTTGTCTTCGCTCAGGAAGGATGGGCTCCAGAGCAAACTAATTGATGCAGCCGCCAAATTGCTGGCTCACAACTTTCATGCCAGTAGCTCATAAAGTAGAATTTTTGCTCACAAGACTCCACAGCTTAGAGCAGTGATGGCGAACCTTTTAGAGACCGAGTGCCCAAACTGCGACCCCAAACCCACTTATTTACCGCAAAGTGCCAACATGGCAAGTTAACCTGAATACTGAGGTTTTACTTTAGAAAAAACAACTTGCATATTAACTTAAGATGATCCAAACAAAGTAAGGAAGGCAATCCCAAATGCGTTCATTTACTTAAAATTATTTGGCAGAGAATTCGACACTTGAATGATGGTCTGGGCCTGGCTGGGGCGATGGCACCCGTGCCCACAGAGAGGGCTCTGAGTGCCACCTCTGGCACCCGTGCCATAGGTTCGCCACCACTGACTTAGAGGGGACATTGGTTGTAATAGTGGGATATCTCCAAGCTCCCCTTGGAGGTTAACAAAAGGAGAAATTCAACGGCGGCAGGTTTTTCTGCCACAGAGAAGGAATTTCGCCACAGAGAAGAAATTTCGCCTGCCAAAATCTGCCACCTGTCTAAAAAGACAGGGGGAGCAGAGAGCTGTTCGAAAGTTGGCAAGCCCGGCAGGGACTGTACCGTTGCCCACATGCCATGCCCGGAAGAAGACAATGGACACCCAGCAGGTCCAGCAGGCTTTTAACTCAAACACAGCCCAGCTTGGACGCCGAGTTTTTGAACCAGTGCCTTGTTTGTTCATCCCATCACGAGCCCCTTTATCTGCAGCCGGGACCGTGTTGGGCAGTACGCCGCGAAAAGGAACACCTGCTGGTTTTAGAAAAGAGCAAAGAGTCCAGGAGCACCCGAAAGACTCACACACTTTGCAGCAGGGCAGGCGCTTTCGTGAGCCACTGCTCGCTTCTTCAGATACAGCGAGAGTGATTTGGCTGGTTTTGTCGCGTATGAACTCTCTGATCGGGGGCCAAGACGTTTGTTTTCCCGGCTGGCTGGCACCCCTCCCTGGGCCTGCTAGTCATGAAAGGGAGACCAACCCCGAAGCAACAAGCCTACCTTTTCCATCTGCCAGGGGCCGAGAATAAAAACAGAGGACAATGGTGGGGCGGGGTCGCATTGTTAAGCACCTTCTGGTGGCTGCATTGGGCGAGGCTTTCTTCCTGACTCATAATCCAAACAGAGAGTTCACAGGCTCAAGGGAAACCAGCATAGTGCTGGGAAATACCAAGAGATTCAGGGGGGGGGCTGAGGGTCTCCAGCCGTCACCTGGAGATTGGCAATGCCAGCATTGGCAATGCCAGACCTGCAGCTCACACCCGCGGGTGTCCCAGTGCTCAGTGTGACTGACTGCACAGTTGCATCTGCCATGCCTTATCCTTGTGGCTCTTTCAGATGTTGCAACCAACACTCCCTCTAAGCCAGTGGTGGCGAACCTATGGCACGGGGGCCAGAGGTGGCACTCAGAACCCTCTCTGTGGGCACGGGTGACATCGCCCCAGCCAGGCCCAGACCATCATTAAAGTGTCGAATTCTCTGCCCAATGGTTTTAAGTCAATGAAAGCATTTGGGATTGCTTTCCTTACTTTGTTTGGATCATCTTAAGTTAATGTATGAGTTGTTTTTTCTGAAGTACAACCTCAGTATTCAGGTTAAATGGCCATGTTGGCACTTTGCGATCAATAAGTGGGTTTTGGGTCGCAGTTTGGGCACGCGGTCTCTAAAAGGTTCGCCATCACTGCTCTAAGCCATGGAGTCCTGAGAGCAAAAACTCTGCTTTGTGAGCTCCTGGCATGAAAGGTGTGAGCGAGCGATTTGGCGACTGCATCAATGAGTTTGCTCTGGGGCCCTCCTTCCGGAGCGAAGACAAAAATGGGTGAGCCGGAGGCTAAAAAACTGAGCTGGCTCACGCTAACTCAGCTCAGAGGGAACACGGGTTGGAGTGCCAAGGGCTATGGGACCAGCCTTCCTCTTTTCTGCATCTCCGTGTCCAGTTTCTACCCGTGGTTCATCTCATTAAGGACACGGGGCTTCCACCAGCAAACGTGGGGTTTCCAGGCTTCAAGTGGTGCCCGGAGATCTCCTGCAATTACAACTGCTCTCTGGACTGCAGAGATCAGTTCCCTTGGCAGAAATGGCAGCTTTGGAGGGTCTATAGCAGAGGTGTCGAACTCATTTGTTACGAGGGCCGGATCTGACATAAATATCACTTTGTCGGGCCGGGCCATGTGTGCCATAAAACCTAATGCCAGGTACCGGAGACAGAAACTGTATAAAGGACAGCAGCTGGTAAGCTCTGAGTTATTGCATCCTCACTGCAAGGCCCCGTGGGGTGCAGAGGAGAACCCACATGGGCGGACTGGAGAGCCAGCGGTGCAACACTGGGCAGCTGTTCCCATATCGCTCGACTGCTGC